GCTAACCTTTCTTGAGTCTTTCAGACTCAAGTCTTTCATCCTCGTGCCACACAAAAAAAGAACCCTGGCGTACTGTACGTCGGGTTTTCAAATATGGCCGCCGCCATGAGGACATGTGTGGGAGGGCGCAGACATGTTATTTCGTGAGTCAATGCCGGAAATACCATTGTCTGAGCGCCTTCAAAAGTTCCGGCCCCTCGTCGGCCACCGTAGGTGGATAAACATTCTCTGCCGGGAGTCGAAAAGTAGAAGTGGTTCACGGAAGTAAGAGCAACTTGTAGGAACGCTTTGTGGTTTAGGAGAAAAACGGCTTAGTGTGTGTTTTGCCCTTCAGACAAGTGAGGCTTGTGTGGACGTGGAGTAGTTTGGAGTCATGGAGTTCCTGTGGGGAGGCAGGTGAGAGCCAGCGCCTTTGGGGTCAGACATGGAGCGAACACCTCTATACAGAATTTAAGGGTGTCCCGACCATCATGGTCAAGGGTGGAGGTGATATTTAGGAGGAATGTGGGGTCTGGATCGCCTGCGGGATTTAATGTGGGCCCCACTGAAGTTTGAGTCAGGGATGGACATCCTAGGGACTCTGGTCCAGATTTCGCTTTAGTGAAGGCGGGAGGGTGGTCTGTGTCTGTGGGACCGAGGCTTGTGAGGACGACGCTTTGGAAACCCAGGACCCCCGGCTGCTGGAGCAGAAAGCGGTATATTCCCCGGGTTTGGTGATTGTTATGTGCCGTGGATTCGGTTCCGACTAATAGCGATCCTGTACACGGTTTCCGAGGCTTTTACGGGAGCAGAAAGCCTCATCTTGCTCCCGCGGAACAGCTGGTAGTTTCGAACTGCTGACCTTAAGGTTCGCAGCCTGATTCGTAACCACTACGCTACCAGATTTCCTATTCCCCGGGCTTAAACAGTCACAATTTGCCTGCTGCCTGGGGTCTGGCCCACGTAGAGGGGCGTCGTGTGGAAGACCTGTGCCCCGCACAGCCCGACATACAGGCTCACTTTCTGCTGCCCTCACCTAATTGTTGTTTTGTTAATTTCTCACGGGCCACGTGAGCCTCATCTCAGTTTCTTAGTAAATCCCTGTGGACTTTGTGTCAGTTTCACTGGTGGTGTAGCAACGGCCTGGAAATGAGAAAGTGTGCAAAGGCATGGGCCACCAGCCGAGAGGTTGGAGGTTGGAGTCCACCCCGAGGCACCTCAACTTTCAGGCCTGGGTTTGTTCTCTAAGGTTGTTATTTTGGTATTAAGTGCTGTTGAGTCGCCCTGACTCATGACGACCCTGCGTAGAATTTTCCCGAAGACCAGATATCTTTGCGGGAGCAGAAAGCCTCATCTTTCTTCCGCGGAGCTCTGATCTCGAAAGTGGTTCCAAGTCCAATGCTTATCTAATGGAACCAGCGAGCTGTGTCTTGAAAACCTTATGCAGTAGCTGTACTGTGTGCACATGGGGTCACTGTGAGTCAGAACTAGCTCACCGGCGTTTAACATCAGAAACAACATGTCCTTGAAAATTGCTTGCTGGTCCCTGGGGAATTTTTTTCTTAAATAGGCAGCACCTGGAGTGTTCTTTTCCATGTAGATATTACCTAACAAAAAGTTCAAGGCGATTTTCTGACAAAATTCTGTATTGTCAGAAAATCATCTAAACATTTTGTCTTTCTTTGCAGTGTTTATAAGTTATCCTTATAATACATTGACTCCCTTCTTCATTATAAAATAGATAAGTAGGTTTTGGGTTTATTTGTTTTGTTGCCCATTCATAAAATTCACTTGCTAATGTTGTTTTTCCAGGAGCTGGGAGCATTAAAATCATCAGTTCATCCAGAACTCCTAATTTAATGCGATAACAAGGTTTGTAGTACTGTTTTTAAGACTGGAAAGTGTCCATTGTATCTGGGTTATTTCTTCCACTAATTTCTTACATTCTTTTTTTATGCTCTATCTTCATCTTCTGATGAATATGTGGTTTTTATTGGTCTTTATCAAAGAATGAGCTCTCCGGAATCTTCATTTTGCTTTTGGTGTTCTTGGGCTCCTCTAGCCCTTTAATTTTTCTAAATTAATTTATTTAAAATGTATAGTTTACCTCACATAAAGGGAATATGTGTGACTCCCCTGCCCAGGAGAGGCAGTAGAATGTTAGTTACCAGCACTGACTGGGGCTTTTTTCCAGTCACATCCAAACCTCACGCTCCAAGGTCTTTTACCATCTTGTTCTCTATAGCAAGTACTCCCAGCCTTTTCTGTATAGCTTTGCCACGTACTAAGTTATTCCTAGGAGTCCTGGTGTGGCACCATAGGAGAAGCACTCTATCTCAAGGTCGGTTTGAACCTAAAAGTCAGCGGTTCAAACTCAACAGCCACTCGTCAGAAACCCTACACAGGGTCACTATGAGCCAGAACTGATTCAATAGCACTTAACAACAGCTCCAGCAAATCATCCCTAATCATTATAACTTTTTTTAAAAAGGGTAATTTATCTTGTTTTTAGTGAAGGATTTCTCACCAGTTTAGACTCTCATTCAATAGTTTCTATACAAGTTGTTCAGTGGTCGTGATTATGACCTACCTGCACAGTATATGAACATTCTCAGTATCTCTCTGTGGTTCCGTTTCTGTTCCTCTAGTTTCTCCAATCATTAGTTTTGCTGATTTTCTAATGAGTGTAGGTGGAATTGTATGTCATCCGTGTTTGAACATCAGGATTGGGTTGCTCATTACTGTGTTGGTGAGAGGCATTCATGCTGCTCACAGGTGTGTGTTTTGCTTTGTATTATTTGCGTATGCATTGGCAAATTTAATCTGTAAATTGTTGTGTCGTAAATATTTTTGACTTTGCAGGCCAGGTAAATGCTCTCACATAGAATTCCTTTTTATTTTGTTTTGTTTTTAAATGCCCCTTAGTTAATGTGTAAAGTATTCTTGACTTGCAGGCAGACCAAAAGTTATAGTTGCTCTAGACTGTTCCACTATTTTTTACTTTTTACATTCAGATTGCTACAAATAGTGCTCTTTATTAAATATTGATGAGTGTCTTACGGTTCAGATATATAGGTGTATATTCCTCATTTGTTGTTAAGCGCTGTCGAGTCGGTTCTGACCCACAGTGATCTCGTATAGGGTTTCTAGGGAGTGACTGGCAAGCTTGAACTGCCGACCTTGCAGATCAAACCGACTTTGCAGTCCAGTGCATTAACCCACAGCACCACACCAGGATTCCATAGCCCTCATTACTGGGCTTTATATACCTAGATGGATACATCAAAGAAGCATTTCCTGGTGGCTTAGTGAACTGCTATGTGAAAGGTGGTTAGTTCAAACACACCAGTGGTTTCACGAGCAAATGATGTGGCGGTCAGCTACTGTGAAGATTGCAGCCTCGGAAACACCCGGGAGCCTTTCTACTTTGTTCTGTGAATCAGAGTCCACTCAATGATACTGGGTTTGATTTCACGTCTCAAACTCAAATTGTTGTTTCAACATTTATGTCGAGGATCCCTAAGTGTGTTCTCATGTGGTTGCTTCACGTTGCACTTTGTCTAGTAGAAACATCTATCTTCAGTTTCCACGCCGTCATGCACGCTATCTTCTGAAGTATTAATGATGTGCCAGTCTGGTGGAGCAGCTCCGCTGGCCCAGAATCGATAGTTGTATATGGTGTGAGGCAGGGATTAAGCTTTTCTGTTTTCCCCATTTCACATATACGTTGGACTCCCTGCGTGCCATTGTTAGAAATTTGCATTTCTCTGCAAATTCTGAATCTTAGGTTTTACTGCTCAGGGATATGATATGTTCTGGGGTAGCACATAGAGGGACACCCAAGAATATTAGGGGGCCTTATCTTAAGAGAAGTGCCAGAGGCAGAGGGTAAGGAATGTACCACTTTAATTGAATTTTCCCCTCAGCCTACAGGTTCTGAGTCCCCAGCAGCTACAGACTCACTTGAAGGAAGGAGGAGGAGGTTACAGAATTGGTGTGTTTGCATTTCTGGAGAAAGCCTTCACAGGAGACTGAGGTTTCGAGCTGATCCAGTGAAGACAAAGACATAGTATCCCAAGTGCTGGCAGCATCTCATGAATCAAAGAAAATGACCAAGGCCCAGGTGACTTTCGGTTTGTTTTACCACCCTCCACTGTTCCCTAAAGGATCTGTAGACTCCCGTAAAATGTCTGAAAAGTATATAACTGGCAATGTAGCAACTGGAGAGAAACAGACTTACAGCTCTGACTTCAACCTCAGGCAACATTGTTGTTGTTGTTGTTAGGTGCTATCAAGTCGATACCAACTCATAGCGACTCTGTGTACAACAGAATGAAACACTGCTTGATCCTGGGCCAACCTCACTACTGTTGCCACGCTTTGAGTCCATCGATGCTGCCACTTGGCCAATCCATCTCACTGGAGGTCTTCCTCTTTTTCTCTGACCCTCCACTTAGCAAACATGATACCCTTCTCCAGCAACTGGTCCCTCCTGACAATATGTCCGAAGTATGAGAGACACACTTATTTACACACATGTAAATTTACACGCATGTGGACACAAGTACAGACATTTGTTGTTGTGATGTGCCGTGGAGTTGGTTCCGACTCATAGCGACCCTGTACAGGGTTTCCGAGGCTGTAAATCCTTACGGGAGCAGAAAGCCTCATCGTTCTCCCGCGGAACAGCTGGTAGTTTCGAACTGCTGACCTTGCGGTTCATAGCCCGATTTGTAACCACTACGCTACCAGAGCTCCTTGGTACAGACATAGGCACTCGTTTATTTTTAGCTGAAAAGATTTCACTGCCACACTCTAAAAATATTTGATGGATCAATGGATGCTTGAAAACACAAATACAGAATAGTTCGTTAGGATAAAAAAACAAACACATACAGGACGTATATCAATGTGATGGCATCTGTAGCAAAATTGACCAGAGTTGTTAACAGATTTCACCCAGATCATTAAAGGAAGTCATGTCGCTAAAGAGGACCTTGTTGTAACAGGTACTACTGGCCTTCGATGATGTGGCTGTGGAGTTCACCCGGGAGGAGTGGCAGCTCCTGGCCCCTGCTCAGAAGGCCTTGTACCAGGACGTGATGCTGGAGAACTACAGCCACCTGGTGTCCCTGGGTGAGGACAGCTCCCCTGTGTCTCTCAGAATGCCATGTCAATTGTCCTTCCCTTTCTTCGCTGTTGAAACCTTTGGAGTGTCTTTGGACCTCTGAACTTGTGGGTTCTTCGTTTCATCTCTGGCCTAGATCATGGGCATACTCTACTATGAGAGAAAAACCGTTACTCGTACTTTTGAAGGTTGTTTTAGCCCATGTGTAACATTCTCCAGTCATCACAAAGCCAAGGCCAATTTGGTGTGTCCAGTGAACCCTGAGGGACCAAATGCTGGAGAAGGATCTCATGTTTGCTAAGGTGGAGGGTCAGAGAAAACTAGGAAGTCCCCCAATGAGATGGATTGGCCAAGTGGCAGCATTGATGGGCTCAACTGTGGCAACGATAGTGAGGTTGGCCCAGGACTGGGCAGTGTTTCATTATGTTGTACATAGGGACGCTATGAGTCGGTACCAACTCAATGGCACCTAATAACAACAAGTGAACCCTGATGGTGCAGTGGGTTAAGTATTGAGCCATTAACCAATATGTTGTCAGTTGAAACCCACCAGCTGCTCTGCAGGTGAAGGATGGGGTAGCTCACTTCCGTAGGGTTCCCGTCTTAGGGGCTCTGTGGAGCAGGTGTGCTCTGTCCTGACCATCGCCAGGATTCACAATGATCTCAATGACAGTGGATTTGGTTTTCTTTTATTTCCAATGTCTTCTGTGATTTCCCCTAAACAGGGTATCAAGTTACCAAACCTGACGCACTCTCCAGGTTGGACAGTGGAGACTGGCCATGGAGCATGTTAGACGAAAGCAGTCGGAACTTTTCAGGTGAGTAAACGGAAGCTAACAAAGGGGGAGACTGGAAGTCACATTCTCGTCAGAGTATGCCTCACTGTCGTGCGGGTTATCTGAGGATACAGAAACTGCCTCCATGTAGTCCTCTACCCATATAAGACTCCATGTTCTCTGCCGGAGGTTAGACCAATGTAGGCCCTCTTAACTCTTCTGAATCCTGGTGTAGCTCTAGGATCAGCACTGGACTGCAAACCCACCAACCACTCCTCAGAAACCTGATACAGGGTCACTACAAGTCAGAACCAACTCAGTGGCACTTAACAACCCTGACAACAACATCTCTTCTGATGACACGTATCTCGTGTGTTTGGCCATTATCTCGATGGTGTATTTAAGTCAGTGTATTTCTCACATGTTCAGATCTTTGCCATCTCTCTGGATCCTCTTTTTAATGCTCTGGTAGCACATGGTGTCCTCTCAAGATGAGAGCGATCACCATCAGCACAAATCTGATGCCTCTGAGGCAGACGTCAGCTGTCCCTCCACTCCCCACTTCATCACTGTTAGGAACACCACCCCCCGCCCCACCACCACCCCCGTTTCCTCACAGTGCTCTACTTTTCTGCTGGGTTTGAGAATTCACTGAAATGATCACAGAGCACTCACATACCGTACTTCTGGTTAAGTGGTTTATTGAGGAAGTAACAAAGCACAACTGAGGATTGGGCTACAAGTCGCCGTCAAGGTCAGAAAGCACCCAGGGGCGTGTGGAGGGCTCCCCTGAAGGAGAGAGCACACCCCGTCCTTCTTCAGTGTGGCGAAGCTCCTTTTGCCTATGTAAGCAAGTTGATCCTTTGCTATGGGTGCCCCTGCCACCCCCTCATGTAGGCCTTTCATGACCCCCTCAGGACAGGCCTCCTCTTGGCCGTGCATGGCCCCGTCCACTGAGCAGACCTCTCGGCCTTCAGTCTCGTCATTGTGAACTGACTCAGGTCATGCTCAGCGCAGCAAGCGTCGTCAGCTGCAGGTTTCTGACGCCACCGACTGCCAAGGGCCACTGGTGAGCCTGTTGTTACTGGTTCTGCCTCAGCACCTTTCAGTGTTTACAGATCATGGCCTGTGTTTTGTTTCTCTTAGGAAGTTCCTTGCCAGTTCTACCTCTGCTGATTGACCTGTTGCCACCACCTTCTTTCTGAATATCCTAGAGGGCTTCTAAAACTAACTTTCTGAAGCCCCTTCATATAAGGAAACTCCTCAGCAGTTCTAAGGCATGGCCCTTCAGACAGGGTCAGTATGAGTTAATCCCCTGAGTGTATTACTGAATCAATTTGCGGAGTCTTTCGTTGCTTCATTTCTGTAGTTTAAAGTATTGACCAATCCCTGCAAGGTGCATAAAACTAGTTTTAGGCAAGGCCAAACTTCGTCTCTCATACCTCGGACATATTGTCAGGAGGGACCAGTCGCTAGAGAAGGACATCATTTTTGGTAAGGTGGAGGGTCAAAAAAAAAAAAAAGACCGCCAACGAGATGGATTGGTCAAGTGGCAGCATTGATGGGCTCAAGCGTGGCAACAATAGTGAGGTTGGCCCAGGATCGGGCAGTGTTTCGTTCTGCTGTGCATAAGGTCACTATGAGTCGGTACCAACTCGATGGCACCTAACAACAGGCAAGGCTAAAGCCCAGGGCCAGACAGAAAGTATTGAACTGTCAAGTTGTTTATTGCTTACCCAGGAAATGTCAGTCAGCCTGTTCAAAAGTCACAAACCTTTTGGAGACTTCATTTATAAAATGCTAAAGGTCAGAATGATTCAAACATTGATGTTCATCTTTTTTTATTACAAATTTTACTACAACGTGATCTTATTGTGTTCCCTGTCCCGAAATCCTATTTACACACTCATAATGGGCTCAAGCAAGGAGCTCTGGTAGCATAGTGGTTATGAATCGGGCTGCAGACCTCAGGGTCATCAGTTTGAAACTACCAGCTGTTCCATGGGAGAAAGATGAGGCTTTCTACTCCCGTAAAGATTTACACCCTCGGAAACCCTGTACAGGGTCGCTATGGGTCGGAACCGACTCGATGGCACTTAACAACAACAACAGCAAGTGAGGGAAAATCTCTTCTATGCACAGAGTGTGGGAAAGACTTTCAAGGAATCACAGCTGAGTGCACATGAGCGAACTCCTGGAGAAAAACCCGTTGGTTTTTTTTTTTTTTGTATCTTACTTAGCATAATGTTTTCTAGGTTCATCCATGCTGTGGCTCACATCAGACTTTTTTGTATATTTACTTTCGTTATGTCTTTTCTCATGATTTTAGTGGTTTTACTAAACTTCAATATTCGCTTTGTCAACATAGGGAATATATTTGTGTATCCCCAGCACCTTTACTTATGTGACAATCATCTTGTTCCAAATGCAGCATTCTGCATTCTTCATAAACCCAAATATGCCTGGTGCATAGCTCTCATTCAGAAAAGATTTTTGGAGTGAATGAGTCTGTCCATCCTCGGTTTGGATCCGGCAGCCCTTCCCACCTCCTCGGTCTACTGTTTACTGTGACGTACTTGTATTTTGCAGTCTCTCAACAGTTTGCAAGCAGCCAGATCTGTATTTCTTCGGTACATATTATCTATCCTTATCTGTACACTATCCGCTTTTACTTTTTGCATTGTTTCTGTTACTGCGTTTTTACCATCCTTTAAAGAACATTAGGACTCCTGGTGTGGTGCTGTCAGATCAGCATTAGACTGCGAAGCATGATTTCGGCAGTTCAAACCCACCAGCTGTTCCTCAGAAACCCTACACAGGGTCCCTGTAAGTCAGAACTAACTCGACAGCACTTAACGATAACAAAAGAACATTATGCTGGAAGTTTTATTTGTACCCATAGAGTTGTCTCTAGAGAGCTACTTTACATCAAAGCATTTTTAATCCTCTTAGTTATTAATCAAGATGATGGAAGGATTTATTCTTCTCTCCTCTCGTAGAAATCCAGAAAGTTGACGACCTTATGCCTGAGCAGCTGGAAGGTGAAAGCAGGGTGAAGCGAGCGGAACAATGCCGGGATCCGCATGAAGTCAGGTATTCGACTGAGTTCAAGAGACACGAGAAAACCTTTCTACATCCTAAACCGGAGCCGTTGCACACTGAAAGACAATTCCCTGAGAGTGTAAAACCCCACAGCACTCAGTGGCAACTCACAAAGCCTCAGAACACTCACAAAATTAAGAAGCCACATGTATGCTGTGAGTGTGGGAAAGCCTTTCTCAGGAAATCTTGGCTCTTGAATCACCAGATCATTCATACAGGAGTGAAACCCCATAGATGTCATCTGTGTGGGGAAGCCTTCTCCAGACAGTTTAAACTCGCCCAGCATCTTCGGAGGATACACAGAGGGGAGAAACCTTTTCAGTGCACGGAATGTGGGAAAGCCTTTCTCAGGAAATCTCGACTGAGTGTACACCAGCGAACTCATAGTGGAGAGAAACCCTACAAATGCAGCGAATGCGGAAAAGACTTTATCCATAAAGGAAATCTCATGATTCACGAGCGAATCCATACTGGAGAGAGACCCTACATCTGTGGTGAATGTGGGAAAGTCTTTATGCGGAGAGGTAATCTCATTACTCATCAGCGAACTCACACCGGAGAGAAACCGTACATCTGCATTGAATGTGAAAAAGGCTTCATCAAGAAGGGCGACTACATTATTCATCAGCGAATTCACACTGGAGAGAAACCCTACACGTGCAGTGACTGCGGAACAGGGTTCATCCGGAAGCAGTATCTCATTATGCATCAGAGAATTCATAGTGGAGAGAAACCCTACGTGTGCACTGAATGCGGAAAAGGCTTCGTACAGAAGAGAGATTACCTTATTCACCAGCGAACTCATACTGGGGAGAAGCTCTTCATATGCAGTGAGTGTGGGAAAGCCTTCACCAGGAAGAGAAATCTCACCATCCACCAGCAAATTCATACTGGAGAGAAACCGTACGAATGCAATGAATGTGGAAAAGGCTTCATCCAGAAGGGAAGTCTCATAATTCACCAGCGAATTCACACTGGAGAGAAACCCTACTTATGCAGCGAATGTGGCAAAGGCTTCATCCATAAAGGAAACCTCCTTATTCATCAGCGAACTCACACAGGAGAGAAGTCAAATGTATGTGGTGAGTGTGGGAAAGGGTTCAAAAAGAAGTCACACCTTGTAGCCCATGAGCGATTTCACTCGGGAATGAATCCCTTTGTATGCAGTGAATGTGGAAAATCTTATTCCGAGAAGGCAAGCCTCATGGAACATCAAAAAACTCACACAGAAGGAAAACCCTTACAAAGGAGCGGATGTGGGAAGTGTATCACGGTGCGTCAAAGATCTCAGGCAGGCGAGAGATTGCATAACTGCAAGGATTGTGGGAAAACGTTTCCTTACGTTTATAGCCTGGTTTCACAAAACACTATGCCCGGAAGAGAGAAATGTGTTGATTTGGGCATGGAGAAAGACCCTTCAGTAGCGAGTCATGGCCCCTCACGTACCAGTGACTTTATGCAGGAGAAAAGCCTTGTTAGTGCAATGACTCTCCAGATACCTCCTGTGGCAGCTCAGACATCAGTAAACATCAATGGACTGTCAAATAGGAACATCATCCTTGTGGGACAGCCTGTTGGCAGAAGTGAGTCACCGGGAGATAACAGAGAGTTTGTACAGCAGAGAAATTTTACAAATACGGTGAACGTGGTGTTGCCTATGAATGCAGTCAAGTTGGTAGTGCCGTCCGTGACCAATTACGTCTTATTTTATGTCCCACAAAACCCGTAGTATAAATTTATATGCTGTCCCTAGGGCCAGTGAGTAGAAAATTTTGTTCATTTTATACCTTCTGACAATATCCTGAGGGCAAGCATACACAGGAACCAGGAGACAGGAGACCTTCCGTGGGCCTTCCTGGGTGCCGTGGTATTTTTACATAAGCTGATGTTAAATGAATATCCACTTGATTGCTCTGTTGTATCAATTAAATGAATGAAAATCTGAGTTCATTTCAATACAAGTAGTAAGTAGTGTGCACTTGTTTAAACAGAAGAGACCATCGGTGTCTGAAATGCCAGTTTGGCTGTCCCTTGTCAGTTTTTGCTGATTCTCATTCATGTCCACCCTCAAGTGTTACAAATGATAAATCAGGAGAGGAACCCTAATGGGAAATAATTGCATTGGTGCCACTTGTTGTTAGGTGCCATTGAGTCGGTACCGACCCATAGCGACCCCATGCACAGCAGAACGAAACACTGCCCGATCCTGCGCCAAACTCAAGCACTATTGTTGCCACGCTTGAGTCCATCGATGCTGCCACTTGACCAATCCATCTCATTGGGGGTCTTCCTCTTTTTCTCTGACCCTTCACCTTACCAAACATGATCTCCTTCTCCAGGGACTGGTCTCTCAGGAGAATATGTCTGAAGTATGAGAGATGAAGTTTGGCCATCTTGGCCTCCAAGGAGCACTCTAGCTGCACTTCTTCCAAAGTGATCTGTTGGATCTTTTGGCAGCCCTGGGGGCACATAATTCAGTTTCCCTAGATTGGTGTGAAAAATCTACGTTGTTGTTGTTCCTTAGTACCATGGAGTCGGTTCTGACTCACAGTGACCCTGCACAGGGTTTCCGAGGCTGTAAATCTTTACAGAAACAGCCTCATCTTTCTCCCACGGAACGGCTGGTAGTTTTGAACTGCCAACCTTGAGGTTAGCAGCCTGATTCGTAACCACTATGCTACCAGAGCTCCTTAATACCTACTGTAAGTAATAATTATCTAGAGCTGCTATAAAGCCAAAACCACAAGTGGATGGTTTTAACAAACACATTTATTCCCTCGCAGTTTAGGGGGCTAGCCCTGGCTCTAGAGGAAAGACCCTTTTAACATCTGTAGGCCCAGCAATTCCTTGAAAGTGTATGAGGCTTGGCCTCTTGTCTCCTTGTTCTAAAACATAGAAATAGTTACGCTGGTCACACGTCATGCGTTCAGGTCTCATCTGTGGTTTGTTAGGTGCATGTGATTCAGGTCTGACTCATAGCAACACTTTCTGAAACTACTAAAGCATCTTCAGAGCCAGTGCTGTGTTCGAACCCATTTCTGCAGGCACTATGTCAGTATGTCTCACTGAGGGTCTTCACCAAGCATGACGTGTCCGCAACCTGTGAGAGGGACTCAGCATCCTCCCTCGTAAAAAGCACTCAGACTCTCCTTCCAAGACATACTCGTTTGCTGTTTACGGCAGTTCACGATACAAGGGCAAGTGAAAGCTATTGTTAGAGAATCATAGAAACTTTTATTAAACAAACTATAGAAGTGGGAAGCTGTTTTTTCCTGACATTACTCCCTCCTCAGTCTGTACACTTCTGAAGGCAGGACTCCTTCCCTCTAGCCCTTCCAAGAAAATTCTGCCGTCTTTGCTTTGTGCCACATTAAAGCAGCTGTTTTGGTTGGAATCCTTAAAAGACTAAAATCTTGCTCTTTTTAAAGTGTGAGTTTAGGGGACCAAAAGTGAGTGTGGAAGGGCAGATCAGCACTAGAAGGTGTAAGGAGTAAGGTTTTCCACTGAAATTCTCGTAGGTACATTATTGTGATGAAAAACTTTTTCCTCAGTGTAACTTTTCTGGCCTTTTTCTCGTTTTCAATTCCTTCTTGTTGGGTACCATCAAGTTGGTTCCAACCCTTAACAACCCCGTGTCCAACAGAACAAACACCACCCAGTCCTGTGCTGCCTCACACTTAGGGTTGAGCCCGTTGTGGCCACTGCTGAACCTTTTTTTTGTTTTTGTTTTTTAAACTTCCTAATTAACCCTTGTTACTTTTTGCCTTGTGTCTTTGGAGAAAAATCTATCAAGATTATCCCTTGAGAATCCCAAAACAATAGTCAGTAGTCACAGCAGTCTGTTCAATTGCCCTGTGACTTGAATTTATCCATCTCAACAGATTCCCTCCGAAGGCACTGTTACCGTCAGAAGTATTGCTGAGAACTTACCTGCAGCTGTGCAGTGACGTCACAGAGATATTTGAACATGTTTGGGCTAAGACCATGCGTTTACGAACTGGAAACCTAGTAGCAATACTTTTTTAATTTGCATAGTCAATATTAGTGTCAATACCATAATTCAAAAGCATCCATTCTTTGTCTTTATTAGTCGTCTAACTTTCTAATGCATATAAGGCAAAATGAAAATCCGTGCCTTAGGTCAGGTGCACCAGCATTCTTTGCCATTTGACACATTATTTAAAGTGGTCTTTTGCAGATTTGCCCAGTGCAAGATGTCCTTTGATTTCTTCACTGCTGCTTCCCTGGGCATTAATTATGGATCCAAATAAATTAAAATCGTCGACTACAACAGTATTTTTGTTAATCATGCTGCTGCTTAGTGGTCCAGCTGTGAAGACTTTTGTTGAGGTGTGATCTGTGCTGAAGGTTGTAATCTTTGATAACCATCAGTCAGTAGTTTAAGTTTGCTTTCAGCAACCCATGTTGATTAAACTGGACATCCCAGGCTGCTAGTGACCCTTCCTCCAACACTCTTTCATTCTTCACATAGTCCAGCTTCTCAGATCATTTGTTCGGCATACACATTGAACAGATACGGCGAGACAATACACCTCTGACTTAACTTTCCTGCTTTTTCAATTCTTAAAAAACTTTACTGTGAATTGAGCGAAGGTTTACAGAGCAGATCATCCTTTTACATTTAAAAAAAATGACAACTTTGCTTCATTACAATGATTGCAATCCCCACCGTGTACCACAGTTAACCATTATTTACCTCTATTCCTTTTAACTAGTGCCCTCCTCCCCTAGGTTCCCACTACCTTCCGCTGTTGACCCTTTTGTATATTGCCTGCCCTCTCACCCATGAATAATTTACCCTCCCAGAAAACTACAACATTGGTTTCATATAATACTTGTCCTTTTGTGACTGACTAATTTCACTCGGCATAATGTCCTCCAGGTTCATCCATGTTGTGAGGGGATTCGCAGATTCATTGCTGTTCTTCAATTTTACATAGTAATCCATTGTGTCTTCTGTACCAAATCTTGTTTAACCATTCTGTTGATGGGCTTTTATGCTGTGTCTGTCTTTTTGATGTGTTTCTTGTAGACAGCATAGTGAAGGATTCTGTTGTCTTACCCGCTCTGCTCTGTCTCTTGACCAGTGCATTTAACCCATTTACATTCTGTGTAATCATTGATAGATATGAATTGATTGCTCTCATTTTCCTGTGTTTTTTTGTGGTCTTTGCTTAATTTTCTATGCTGAGTTCATTTTGTTTGTAGTTTTTCTTTTCTTCATTTCTACTATGTTGTTGTTAAGTACCACTGAGTCAGTTCTCTACTATGTTAATGTTTACTAAATCTTTCCTGGTTTTCCTGTTTTTGTTTTTTACTTTGATGTGCAGATGTATTTATATTCCTCGAGGTTACCCTGTGATTTATTATTTTTTTTCCCCTATTTAAGACCATTTGCTTTATCTTGAAATCTACTTGACCTCCAACCCATTGACCTTTCCTAATATTTTAAACCAAGCAGTATTCCTTTGTTCTGTTCAAACGACTGCTGCTTTTTCTATAAACAAGTTCCACATGAGTACAGCGGAGTGCTCTGGTATACCCATTCTTTCCAGTGTCAACTGTAATTCACAATGGAAGGTCTTTTCAACACCAATAAAGCACAGGTAAGCATGTCATAGATTGAACTGTGTTGCCCCAAATATGTGTCCACTAGACTAGGCCATGATTCTATGTAGCCTAGCAGTTCCGGCATGATCACCCAACATGTGATCTCATGGACAAAGCATGAGTTGCAGCATCCTTAATACCATATCAGCTCCCATGTGATATGAAGGGAGTTCCCTGGGATACGCATACAACATCTGTTACCTACAAGAGAGAAAATGCGAGAGCGGTGAACAGAGATGACAGGGACCTACAACCAGAAACAAGAGCCCAGAGTGGAGCTGCCCTTTGGACCTGGGACCCCTACACAGTAAAGCTCCTGGATCCAGGAGAATATCGCTGCCAGGATACCTGCAGATGCTGAAAGGAGACATCTGTAGAGTTAACAAAAGGAAGCATTTCCCTAGTGCTGTGTCTGACAATCGGCTATTCTCCATGACCTGCAAAGAGAAATTGAACCCGAGTGACGGGAGATTAGAATAAAAAGGAAGACACAAGACACAAATGAAATAAGTAAAGTTGGGGCCAGGTGGGACACAGCACTCTGATGGAGATACTGCAACACCGACCAAGGCAGCGAGTTTATTACATACACAGCTCAAGGGGAGGTGCTTGGGCAGGGTAAGGAGCACAAGAACATCTTGTACTGAAAGAGCCTGCAGGAAGTGGAACATTATCAGAAAAACTGTTAACTTGTAGTAGCTAGCCGGAACACAGATTAGAGCAGTTAAAATTCTGTGCAGACTGAGCTAAAAGTCATGGCTGTGTAGAAGGACCTGCTTTGCAGACTCAAGGGGTAGCTAAGCCTGTGTGCAGCCTGATGTCATGAGCCACAGCTGACAAGGAGCACCTTTGGAGGACCACAATTCAAGGTCACGCTTTGCAACAACCAAGAGATCATCTGTAACCCTCAGTTAAACTGTTCCCAGGCCAACGACCTTCGGCTCAGTTGCTCCCAACACCCTAGGACCAGTAGTTGGAACGTGGGCTGGCATCCTAAGCTGTAAGACAATAAATTTGTTCAAAACCATCCGCTTGTGGTCTTTCACTTACTGCAGCACTAGAGAAATAAGACAACATCTTTGTGGTACTCTCTACTTCCAGACAAGAGCCATCTGACAACAACAGTGATATCCTTTGTTTCGTGTCCTCTTCTGAACCTGGCGTGTACTTCTGGCAGTTCTGTGTTCATGTATTGCTACAACCAATTGAATGATCTTCAGCAAACTTTTACTTGCATGTGGTATTATATATTGCACAATAATTTCCATGTTGTGTATGATCATGTTTCTTTGGAATAAGCAAAAATATGGATCTCTTCCAGATGGTTGGTCAGGTAGTTGTCTTTCAAATGTCTTGGCCTAGACAATTTAAGCATTTTCAGTATAGCATCTGTTTGAACTATACAAGATGGAATGTGTAGTTCAGATGGAATAAATGGGAATCAAAATGGCCACATCTGTGGGAAGAGACGGTGGAAAAGCATATCAGTATCATCAGCCAAAATAAGGCCAGAGACCAACTGTAGAACAAACCATCAATTGCTCAGATGCAAGTTCAGGCTGAAGCTGAAGAAAATGAAAACAAGTCCTCAAGAGTCAAAATATGACCTTGAATATATCCCACCTGAATTTAGCGACCATCTCAAGAACAGATTTCATGCATTAAACACTAATGACCAATGACCACAAGTTGTGGGATGGCATTAAGAACATCATACAGGAAGAAAGCAAAAAGCCATTAAAAGGAGGGAAAGGACCAAAATGGATGCTAGTAGAGCCTCAGAAAGTTGCTCTCCAGTGTAGAGGTGCTGTAGAGGTGCTAAAGCAGTTGAAGAAGTAAGGAAGCAGAGTTGAACAGAAAATTTCAAAAGGGCAGTTCAAGAAGTCAAAATCAAGTATTCCAATGAAACGCTTAAAGACCTGGAGTTATGAAACCAAAAGGGGAAGAAAACATTCAGCATTTTTCAAGTTGAAAGAACGGAAGAAAAATTCAAGCCTCTACTTGCCATATTGAAGGGTTCTATGGACAAAATATTGAATCATGCAGAAAGCATCAAAAGAAGATGGAAGGCATGCATTAGGCAAATCTGCTGCACAAGACCTCTTTAAAGTGTTCCAAAGCAAAAATGTCCATTTGAGGACTAAGGTGCACCTGACCCAAGCCATGGTATTTCCAGTAACCTCTTATGCATGTGAAATTTGGACAATGAATAAGGCTATAGAAGAATGAAAGCATTTGAGTTACGGTGTGAAGGGAGAATAAGTACCACGGATTGCTAGAAGAACTAACAAATCGATGTTGGAAGAAGTACAGCCAGAATGCTCCTTAGAAGCCAGGATATTAGACTTGTCTCTCATACTTCAGACATGTTATCTGGAGGGACCAGTCCTTGGAGAAGGACATCATGCTAGGCAAAGTGGAGGAAAAAAAAGGAAGCGCCCCAGCGAGATGGATTGACTTAGTTGCAGCAGTTTAGCAATGATTATGAGGATGGTGCAGAACCAGACAGTGTTTCATGCTGTTGTGCATAAAGTCACTGTGAGCCAGAACCAACTCAAGAACAATTCACAACAACAACACAGAAATACAAGTAATTGTTTATTATGTAGAAAATTAATGAATGAGATAATGAACTTATCAAATAATGTTGTGTCTTTGAAATGAGTAATCCATTGAAAGACAGTGTAAAGACAGGAATTATCCTCCTACAATGTAGTGGAGTATTAATGTGGCATTGTGGGATATAGCACTGGACCACACAGTTTGAAACAAAAGATTGGTGGTTCAAACTCACCTGCCACTCCTTGGAAACCCTATTCAGGGTCGCTTTGAGTCGGAACCTACTTGATGACCCCTTAACAACAAAAGTGTAGTGGAGTCCTGGTGTAGCACTGTAGGATAAGCACTGAACCGTATAAGTTCGGTTTGAACTGCAAGGTCAGCAGTTGAAACTCACCAAGCACTCCTCAAAAACCCTATACAGGGTAGCTGTGAGTTGGAACCAACTCAATGGCATTTTACCACCACCAATACAGCGTGAAGGAGTGCTGGTGTGGCGCTGTAGGATAAGCACTTGCTTGCTAACCGTAAGGTCAATGGTTCAAACCCACTGACCACTCCTTGAAAACTATATAGGATCACTATGAGTCGGAACTGACTCAATAGAACTAACACCATCAACAAATGTAGTGTGAAAGGCACCCTGGTGGTTTAGGCATTAGGTTGCTAACTGCAAATTGGCAGTTCAAACCCACAAGACTCAGTGGGAGAAAGATGAGGCTGTCTATTCCAATAAAGGCTTATAGTCATTATGAGTCAATCTATTTGATGGCAGTGGATAGGGTGTAAAGATGATTAACTTTGGCTCTACCCTGTAGGTAAAATTGTACCAATTTATGACGGGCTGGGCTCTTGTTAAGCGCCTTCGAGTCGATTCCGATTCATAGCCACCCTGTATAGGGTTTCTGAGGAGAACCCGACCTTGTGGTGGAGCGCTAATCCTACAACCCCACACCAGTATTTAGGCAGATCGGAAGTCACTGCACTAGATTCTGAAATTTACACGTTATGCTAGTTTTTGATGTAATGATGGTGTATCATTGTGACAAAGTATAAACTCTCCGTAGGGTTTTCAAGACAGCAATCTTTAAGGTAACAGATCCGGCCCATGAAACCCTTAACCATTGTTCCACTAAACTAAGGCCCCTTTCATTCTGTACGGACGATTTTCAAATATGGCCGCCTCCAGAGAGAGTGAGACTCACGTAAAGGCGGAGACCGGAAATGCCTCTGTCCGCGCACCTTCAAACTTCCGGACCTTCGCCGGCATCCGTACAGGGACATGGATCCAGCGCGACCAGTCGAAAAGTAGAAACAGTTAACGGAATTAAGTGCTCCTCTTCGGAATTCTTTGCGGTGCAGGAGCTAAACAGGTCACTGTATGTTTTGTCCTTGGAAGAGGACGAGGCATGTATGTGAACGTGATGTAGTGAGGACCCATGGTATTCCTGAGGTGAAGCAGGTGGGGTGAGCGCCTTTGTACAACGTTGAAGTCCGTCCGGACCGTTGGCGTCCGACGTCTTTGTGCATCACTCAGCTTTTCCGGAGTGGAGCCGGTATTTAGGATGAATGGGGTGTCGGGTTCGGATTTTAATATGGGGCGCCGTGAAGTTTGAGCCGGGGATGGACATCGTAGAGATGGGTCTGGGCCAGTTTTCGAGTTAATAAGGGCGTGAGGGTGACCGATGTCTGTACAGAGGATTGTGAGTGCGAGAACCGTGGAAGCCAGATCGTATTGTCTGAAACTAACCCTGATTTATGGTCCTTCCTCACAATGCTTCTGTCTCTTATCATGCATTCGTTTAGTTCTTCGATACGAAATATTTAAGCAGGTTGGTAGCTTGAGATCTATCTTTGCTTTATTGTATATTTATAGAGTTCACTTGCTATATTGTCTTTGTAGGAGCTGGGATCATCAAGTCATAAATTCATCAGGACTACAAATTTAATCACATAACGAGGCTTGTAGTTTTATTTCAAGACTTGTTAAGTGTCATCGAGTCGGTTCTATCTATAGGATTTCGGAGGAGCGGCTGGTGGGTTTAAACGGCTGACTTTGTGGCTCACAGTCCAGTGCTGATTCTGCAGAGCCACACTGTTGTTCTTAAGTGCCGTTGAGTCGGTTCCGACCCATAGCGACCCTGTAGAGGGTTTGCTAGGAGCGGCTGGTGAGCTTGAACTGTCGACCTTGCGGTTCAAACCGACCTTGTGGTCCAGCGCTTATCCTACAGTATCACCCCAGGACTCCTAGAAAAATGATAATTTTGGAGGGTCATTTTTTTCAATTAATTCCTTATATTCTGTACAACTAATCTCCATCTTTTGATCATGGATGTGTATATTTAATTGGTTTGATCTTTTGGTGTTTGTGGACTCCACTTTTGGTATTTTGGTGCTCCTCCATTCCTTTATTTCTAATAAATTTATCTGTTTTAAAAGTGTGCAACTTAACTAGTATAAAGGCAGTATGTGTGTAACTAGCCACTGCCCAGGGGAAGAAGCAGGCTATTGTCTGCACACACCAGTGGTGACTTCCCCAGTCCTATTCAAACCTCATACCCCAGAGTCGTCTGCCCTTCTGTCTGTAGCATGCACATCCAGCCTTCTCTTTAGAGTTTTACCACATACTTGATTATTTCTCATCACTGTAACGTCTTAATGATCTACTGCATTTCCAATGAAGGCTTACACAACAGTGCAAGCTTCTCCTGGACAATTTCTACACATGTAGTTCAGTGGCGTTAGTACAATCTACACAAAGACTCTTCAAGTTGCTCCTTTTCGTTCATCTCATTTCTTTAACCGTTGTCTTTTGTTGGGTATCATTAAGTCACCTTGTGACTCACAGCAACCCTACGCACAACAGAACAAAACATTGCCAGCTCTGCTGTCATCCTGCAATTGTTAAATTTGAGCCCATTGTTCCACCACCCACTGTATCTTTCCATCTGTTAGTGGGTTTTTCGCTTTCTTCTGACCCTTTCCTTTCCCAAGCATGCTATTTCCTTGGAATAGTCCCTCCTGATGATATGTCCAAAGTTCCTGAGATGAAAATTTCACCTCCCTTGTTCTTAGAGAGCATTCTAACTGTACGTCTTCCAAGAGGTTTATTTGTGTTTCTGGCATTCCACGGTCCTTTGAATATTCAGAGTTAGCACCATAATTCATATGTATCAATTTTTCTCCAGTCTCTCTTAGTCTTTGTCCTGCTTTTACACGTACATGAGGCTATTGAATGAAAATACCAGGCTTGGGTCTGGTGCGCCTTATTCCTCAAACCGACTTCTTGAACACGTTTTAAGAGGTCTTTTGCGGTAGATTTGCATAATGAAGTAGTTTAATTTATGTTTTGACTTTTTTTGTGGTTTGAGTGAAGGTTGACAAAGCAGATCGTCAGTTTAACATTCAGTAAATCATATATTTTACTTCATTACAATGATTGCAATTCCGTCCCTGTACCATCAGTTAACGGTATTTATCTCTTTAACTCTTGCCCTCCTCCCTGTGTCTCATGCTACCTTCATCTTTTCCCTCTGCTAACCTCCTCCTTTTTGTATATTGCCTGTCCCACCTCCTATGTTAACATGTGTCTACTCTTTAGTCTGTGAATAATTCCTTGTCCCCCCTCCCTCCAGCTAACCATCATAGAATATTTCTTTTATCAAAACAACATTGGTCTTTTTCTTTTAACATATTGGTCTCATGCAATATTTCTCCTTTTGTGATTGACTAATTTCACTCAGCATAAAAGTTCTCCAGGTTCATCCCTGTTGTAAGGTGTTTTGTAGATTGATCTGTATTCTTTAAAGAGGTCTCTTGCTGCAAATTTGCCTAATTACAATACAATACATTGTTTAATTTCTTGACTTCAGCTTCCAGGAGGGTTGATGGAAGACCTAAGTAAATGGAAATACGTGACAACTTCAGCCTTTTCTTGTTTATCATGATGTTGTTTATTAGTCCAGTTGTGAGGATTTTTGTTTTGTTTTTAACACTGATTTGTAGTTCATACTGAAGGCTGTATTCTTTGATCTTTACCAGCAAATGCTAAGTCCGCTCTGCTTTCAACAAGCAAGGTTAATTTAATATCTGCATATCACTGCTGGTTAATGAGCCTTCCTCCAGTCCTCCTGACTTGTTCTTTCTGTAGCCCAGTTTCTCAGGTTATTTACTCAGTATACAGATTGTATGGAGTCCTGGTGTGGTGCCTCCCGGGTTAACGTGTTGGATTACAAGGTCGTTTTGAACTGCAAGCTTGGATATTTAAGCTCACCAGCTGTACCTGGGAAACTCTATACAGGGCCTCCATGAGTCCGAAGCAATTTCAAAGGCACTTACCAACACAGATGGAGTAAATCTGGTGAAAGGATACAGCCCTGGCACATACCTTTCCTTATTTTAAACCATACATCATTCTCTTGTTCTGTTTGAACCACTGTCTCTTGGTCAATGTACAGGTTTCACATCAGCTAAATTAAGTGTTCTGGAATTTCTACTTTTTGCAATGTTATCCATAGTTTGTGATAATCCAAGTAATAGAATGTCTTTGTATAGTCAATAAGATACAAGTAAACATCTTTCTGGTATAGTCTGCTTTTAGCCAAGATCCATCTGATGTCAGCAATGAATCCCCTCATTTCTGAACCCGCCTTGAATTTATAGCAGCTCCCCATTACATGGACTCCTGGTGTGGCGCTCTAGGATCGGCACTCATCTTCAGCCACAGGTCGGCAGTTCAAACCCACATGCTACTCTTTGGAAACCCTATTAACAAGAGCAACCCCATCACATGTGCTGCTGTAACCATTTTGTAATTATCTTTGGCAAGATTTTATTAGTGTGCGATATTATAGATGTTCTAAGGTGCTGTCGAGTTGGTTCCAACACATGGCCACCCTGTATAGGGATTCCAAGTCTGTACATTTTTATAGGAATAGAAAGCTTCATCTCTCTCTTGCAGAGCAAATGGTGGGTTTGAACCACCGACCTTACGTTTCGCAGTCCAGCGCTTATGTACAGAGCCACTGTGCTCCCTGATGGCAGTGACAGTGTTCAATCATTTCTGCTTTCTATAAGATCACCTTTCTTTGGAATGAGCACAGATATGGATCTCTTCCAGTCGGTCTTCCAACTTTCTTGGTATGAATTTGTTAGTGCTTCCAGAACTTCATCAGTTTGTTGAAACGTTGCAGTTGGTATTTCATCAATTCCTGAAGCCGTTATGTTTTGCTTATGCCTCAGTGCGGTTTGGAGTGCATCCTTCAATACCATCACTTATTGATCGTGTACTACCTCCCGAAATGGTCGAATGTGGATCAAATCTTTTTGGTACAGTGACTGTGTATTTGTTACATCTTCTTTTGATGCGTCCTTCTTTTGTCAATATTTTACCCATGTTGTTTGTAGGTGCCTTCCAGTTGGTTGCGACTTACCAGTCGTATACACAACAGAATGAAACACTGCCTGGTCCAGGGCTGCCCTCAGGATTGTTTGTATGTTTGAGACAATGATTGCTGCCTCCGTGTCAGTCCATGTTGTTGAGGGGTCTTTCTCTTGTTTGCTGACCCTCTACTTGTCTAAGCATGATCTTCTTTTCAGGGACTGGTCCCTCCTGACAACATGTCCAAAGTACAAGAGATGAAGTCTCACCATTCTTGCTTCCAAACAGCATTCTGGTTGTAGTTCTTCAAAGACAGATCTGTTTGTTTGGGCTTTTTTGATAGTTTCAGTATTCTTCATCAACACTACTATAATTTAGATGCATCCGTTCTTTTCTGGTCTCCCTTATTCATCATACAACTTTCACACACATATGAAGCTTGGGTCAGCACACCTTAGTCCTCAAACTGACATCTTTGCTCTTAAATACTTTAAACAGGTCTTGTGAAGCAGATTTGCCTAATGCACTACGCAGGTTGATTTCTTGATTGTGGGTTCCATAAGCATTGATTGTGGCTCTGAGCAAAATGAAATATTTGACAAATTCAATCTTTTCTACATTTATCATGATGTTATTTATAAGTCCAGTTTTTTTGTTAAAGTTTTTATTGTGATCTGAGTGAAAGTTTACAGGGCAAATCATCAGTTTCACCCTCGACAAATCATACACTTTGTTTCATGACAATGAATACAATCCCCTCCGTGTACCATCAGTTAACAGTATTTCTCTCTATTCATTTTAGCTCTTTTTTTAAAAAAAGAAAAACACTCAGGCATATATAATAATTTAAACCACCAAAGGACACGTTCTGCACGTCTGCCTCATGGCCACCAGCTCTCAGTCCCTCTCTTCCCATGTATAGGTCCAGTTTGTTTGTTTTTT